CACTCACCACACAAACTCTCGCCCAGTGCCTGCCTTCCTGTGCCCTCTCCAGAATGAATCTTGTAGCACTGAACTACACACCGCATGTATATCCGAAAATGGCAAGAAATGGATATGCTCTGAAAATTCTAATGTGTTTGACAGTGTTTCTCCTAAACAAACCTTGTGGTTTACTGGAGCAGGTAAGCATTGAAAACTCGTTGAGGAATAGCTAGTAACTTAATGTTTTTTTCTTCTTTCCTCAGTCACATCTCCTTCCAAGTCCAAAGCTCCAAAGCTCAGTGATCTAGCAAATCGTGTTGCAGCCATCATTCCCCACAAATGGAAGCCGGTGGCTATCCAGCTAGAGCTCAGCAAAGGAGAGAGGAAGGCCATTGAGAAGGATGAGGACGAGTGCTTTGATCGATTCATGGCTGTTCTCGAGCAATGGAAGCAATCAGCTAGTCAGCCCCATACCTGGAAAACATTGATCACTGCCTTGAAATCGGCATCTGTTGATGAACAATGCTTAGCAGAACAACTGGACAGAGACTTTTGCTAGTGTTGTAGTTTACGCATGCGCACTTTATTACCGTATACGCAAAGGTTTTTCTTATTGTGCACGAGCATTCGCCGTGCTGCTGCTGGAAAATAGCGACCTACGCGACCCCGGGAGAGCGTCCGCCGGTTGGTCTCGCTCCCTCGAGGGAAGCCATCATCGACCAGTATGGGGACGAGATGGACGAGGCTCTAGTCGGGCCGGTGTACCTTCGGCTGGACGACCCGGCCTTCCGCTCCTACGTCAAGTACGCCAACCAAACATACGAGGAAGAAGAGGCCGGGGATGAAGAGCTAGGCCTCGACCTCTCCGCTCCACCGCCAGAGTCGTGGCCTCTAGGGTCTTCCCGTAATTATGTCAGTGTAGCCGTGTCCGCATGCGGTGAATATCCCACGTTTGTCCGCTACTACCGTTAGTCAGTGTGGAAGCACTGACCCATGTCTGCGTTAGATTCTAGATGAAGCGTCCTATGAAGTGGATATGGATGGAGGGGCTTTCCCTCATCATTCACAAAATCCATGCATGTTTGTAAAGTTCCACTTGTATGGTGAATGTGGATTGTGTGGGAATGAAAGGCTCTCAATCTGAACTACAGGTGGTTTCATGGTCGCATTAGTCGGCAGACGGCATCCTCTAGACTCCACGACCTGCTGGGGGAGCAGGGGGTGTAGCTGGTGAGAGAGAGTGAGACTCAGCCGGGGACTATGCCACTCGTACCTCAGCCGTACCGGCTACGTCCACCACTCAAGATCAACTCCAACTGTGCGACTACTTCATCGGAGGACGGCATAGTTCATGTCTCTCTCGGAGCTCATGGGTTCTACTCAAACTGCTCCTGCATCTTGGAGATGAGAGTCTGGAGTACCTGTCTGTTCCTCACGGTGTGTGTGTGTGTGTGAGTGTATAATGTACCTCATGTGTACGTTAAGCCCATCACACATTCCTTTATTACCATCAGCATGGTTAACTCTTGTGTGCATGTGAATGTATGAACAACTGTGTTTCTCATAGACTAAGTGTGATCACGAAATCTTGCTCGTCAGTATTTTCCAGACATACAGAATTTCCTTGGTTTCTGTAGAAGGCAATGTACACATGTGGGTGCAATTTTGGTCTCTTGATGAGCACAGTGATGTGGCAAAGTTCTTTCTATCTCAAATTCGCATTTCCCACCATGCAGCCAGTTCCTCGTACATTATGTCTTGAGGCACACAGCACCACACGTAGAACCCCCGGCACTGAAGAACTCACGTACTGTCCAACTAACCACTTGTACTACTGTGTCTGCTCTCACCATCTTGTGTCGTACACATTGTTCACAATGACATAGTACAGTATAATGGTGTCCTATCACCTAGCATTGTAGTACACAGCCTCTGGCAAGTCCCATTGTGATCTTCAAGCAGACGGTTGTTCGCTTTACTGTAATGAGAGGAGAATAAATCGACTGGAATCGCTGTGTATTGTATTAGTAACAGACTATGGAAATGGCTACTTAAGAGAGATGATACTAAATCACTGCGGCATCTCTATATTATACATCCAAAAACTACGATTGCATCACAAAGTCTCGATCTGTGCGTCCATGCCATGTAAGCATTGAAGACAGTTCAAAGGAGCAGATTCCGATAGATTTTCAATGAGCAATACGTACAAGCGGTAATGTGAGTGTCTATAGCTTTGGCTCCAGCTTTGAAACACTCCTAGCGCCGTAGCCCACAGCATGTGTCAACCATAGTATGCACACCTAGCCTGCAATGCTCACAACCTCAACATCCTAAACTGGCAACTTCGTATATTTTTATATTTCCAGGTATTGTAGATGTTCATTACGTATTACGTGTATCGTCACACTAGTGTACACGAGGTGTGGTGCCTGCAGTATTGAATGTGGGGAGCGGTTGTGTGTCCTGCGAGTCGGTCGGCATGCTTGAATGAGACTGGGGCTGGGGTCACTCCCAGCGGTCGGGGAGAGCGGACTCATCCTCTCATGATCGTGAGGATGTGGTGTGAAATGGGAGTGTGTGTACAGGTGTGGATTGTACATGTAGGTGCATGAGAGGAGGGGGATGTAAGAGTTGCAGGAAAATAAACAAGGAAAATGGTATGGGTTTTTGAGGAGATGTATGTATGTATGTATGTATGTATGTATGTATACATATTGGTTGATATCCCTAAGCAACCGACATGTATGAAGCTACGTATGGGGAAGTTTTATGAGGCATATACTATCCTGCCGCAATGTAAGGTGGGTTCATACATGTCGGTTGCTAGGGATATCCAACAAATATATTGCATTATTCCGACAGGACAGCATTCGCCCTTACAGGGCTCATGCTGTCCTGTCTGGGCACTGCAACACATACATACATACATACATACATACAGCAGGGAAGCAGCAAATAAAACTACCAGCAGCTGCACTCCGTGTACACACATTACTGAAATCATCTCTTTCTCCCTAAAACAAATCTCCACTACTGTTGTGCTGGCTGTTGTTGTGATGTGATGTGTTCAGACTGATGAGGATCCCAACCTGGGCAAAGTGTGGTTCCATGACTCCATCTCCAGAGAAGAGGTCGTGGACCTACTCACTCACAGTGAGACATTCACCTTCTGTCTCTGCTGGCGAGCAAAGCGAGCCTACCTCGTTGTCTGATTGTGGGAATTTCTATTTGTATGTGAGGGGCACTGCACATGCCGTATGTAACTCGAAATATGCACAAAAATTGTATGTCATTCTAAATAGTATGCGAAAAATTGAACTGCAAGTGCTCGATCGCCAATAATGCATGGTTTTGGTTCTAGTTATAGCGAGTCTACTTCTCTAACAACTTTCTCTACGTGGAATTGTGTCCTTTGAAGTCTGCCCTCCTCTTGTATTTGTTGCATAATGTCAATGTTTGTACACCTCCTGTGTTTTAATAGTCAATTCCTTTAAACCAGTGTAAATGTTTCATTGTCCTTTGTCGGAACCTGTGTGTGTGGTGTGTGGGTATGGTTGTGAATGGAGATGGCTATCATGTCATGTGTTCGCTCTATGTCACACCCAGAGGGCCAAGTACATCTCGCTCCTGAACCACTGGTAGTGCCATAGGCTGGGTTGCCAGATGTGGAGATGTCAGTAGATATGTAGGCCTCATTTGCTGTATAGGCAGTTTTCTGGTGAGACTGTCCAGTGTGGAGAAATCAGAGAGACACTACTCCCTCTCTGTCAAGTAAGCCAATCACCTATGTTATGAGCACGTAAAATTTTAGCTATACGTGAAAAAGGATGGCAAAAGTACATTTGGTAATGTACGCCTCATCTTGTGTGAGGTTTACCAGTTAGTTTTTTGCGGCCAACTCAACACACATTCGTTAGTTATCAGAGGTTTTTCCCGTCCCTTGCCTATGTTTTTACTCCACACATGGGCACAGAAGTACAGCTGGCATTTGATATTGTAACTGTATACATGTCCTGGGTACTTATTGAGTGTGTTGAGTCTGATACTAAGAGTTATGACTTGTGTGAAATACCTCCAGAACTCGAGATAAGGTGCAGAGATTCCGCATCACCAGGTACGACACAGGATACTACATATTTGGAGGGAGACCGTTCAGTAGGTGAGCAGCCGTCTCTCTGGAGACCGCATGTATGCAGTACATTCAGGTATAATGGCCGACTTTTTCTTCCTTTTTCACAGTATGGATGATGTTGTTGACAGATACAGGAGTGAGGTCATCATTGATGGAATCACACTAGGAGCACCAATCATCCAGGTAGTGAGAGTGACGTTGTTCTCAGTGTCAGTTGTATAGAACACTTTGAGCAGTGTGGCTGCCCTGGTTGTAGCTCAGGCGGTAGAGTGCTCTTCCTGGACTGCAGAGTGTCGTGGGTTCATGTCCCACCCAGGGGGAGCTCTTTTCCTTGTTGTCCTGGGTGTTGTTGATTAGTTTGCTTTCCACTTGCATGCACCTCACCTCTATAATTATGATTCTCTACCTCCGTGTGTCTCCCTGTCATCGTACGTTGTAGACTGTGAGGCCAGTGGGTCGGCAGGCAATGACAGTCACCTCTCCACGAGACAGGACCAACAGTATCATCCTGACACAGGCACACAGACAGGGAGAAAAGACCGGACTACTCCTCCTCAGGAAAGGTCTGTATTGCTAGGGTCAGTCATCAACCCTCGGCACACATGGGGTTAATACTGCAGTTGTCTGTATTTAACCCTCGACACGCATGCGCAGCGAGGGTTACAGTAGTTGGTTTGTCTGTCTGTCTGTGTGTCGACGCTTATTCTGGCACTACAGGCTGCGAGGCGGCCTGTTAGCAACACCAGCAGCTTTAGAACTACGCGAGCCTGAAAATAAAAGGGCGATTTCCCTGAAACGACTGCGTTCGAGAGATATGCCATGAAAACAAGCAAAAAAGCCAATATGCATAACCGCACTGAGCTTACCGCGACCTGATCTGCTCGCTATGTGTACCTTGGGGACTCAGGAAGTCACAACGAATGGCACGTATCGACTCCCGCATGCTATCTACTACTGTAGCTAGCCCGTGTCAGACTCTCCGCGAGCTACTAGCGGGAGATTATGAGTAAACACATACAAATAGCCCAGCCCATCAATTAGCAGTATCGCGCATGCGCAGTTAGCCGAGGGTTTGCACTTTAGTGCTTTTCATGTTTTTCTGTAGCTACACTGGCACTACTGGCTACAAAAGGCCAGTCGTAAATGAAAAGCACTAAAGTGCAAACCCTCGGCGCAGGCAGTTAAGCCACCACCACGTGGTTGAATATAATGCGCATGCGCATTTTCCGCAGCGATAAAAATGGCCGACTACGCATTAGCCGCAGAATGCCGGAAGCGCTCTAGCTTTGCAACGGAGCATTTTCAGAGAAAACAGCCTTTATTTTCTGACCTTCGTCGCCCGCTGGGTAGATGGCATCGTTTCTTGGACGAACAGACGTTCGAGGAGTGAGATATAGAGTAACAGACAAACAGACAGACAGACAGACCCAGCTACTGTACCCTCGCTACGCATGCGTGCCAAGGGTAACTAGCTGGTGTGACCTGGGCTCACGATACGTTGTTTTGCCCCAGGGATTGGCTAGCCTTTGCGACATGTTGTGAACCTAGTATGATACTATGTGGGACTTTAGTCAGCTGGCATCACATGGTCTATTGTTACATGGTATGACACTGCAATGACATGTACTGGTCACAGGGAAGAAGAGTCCAGTCTATGGCAAATGGAAGGAGTTTTATTTCGTCATAAAATACGGAGAACAGAAACTGCTCTACTACGAGCGAGAGGACGTGAGTTCTCCCTTAGCATGATAATATAAAACTGTGTCCAGTTTGATACTATTACGCTTTGTTTTTTAAATGTGGGAATTGCCTTTAATTTTCGTCTGTGAAGAAACATCTGATGTAAATCATCTGACGTAACAATTTGCTGTTGGTCATGATTAGGACAACAATCTAATCGACTTGTGCCTGCAGAGTCATAAAGCCAAGGGACTTTTGGATTTGAGACAGTGTCAAACCTTTGCCGTGGATCCCACCCTCTATGGCAGGTATGCATGTTACATCTTTCTTGCTTCAAGGAAAGCAAGCTGTGCACTGACGGCACGTTATGCAGCCAGAATATCGCTGGCAAATCCCAAGTTGGGTCGCTCCCGCTCGACAATGTTCAACATTTGCACTAGTACTAAGTACATAGGATGCTCAGGATGTGGTTAAGGGGTGGGGGTAAGGAGGGTGAGTATCAAGTCCTGCTATGTCTAAACTTCCTGTATTAAACCAACCCTACCTAGTCATCTGAATGTGGGAATCTTCTATGCATAATAGTTTATTACCCTCGGCGCGCATGCGCAGCGAGGGTACAGTAGTTACCCTCGGCGCGCATGCGCAGTGAGGGTACTGTAGTTGGGTTTGTCTGTGTGTGTGTGTCTGTCTGTTACTCTCAATCTCACTTCTCGAATGTCTGTTCGTCTCACAAACGATACGACCTACTTAACGGGCAATGAAGGTCAGAAATTCGAACGGTTTTCTCTGAAAATGCTCCATTGCAAAGCTAGAGCGCTTCCACATTGTATGGCTAATGCCGGTAGTCGCCATTTTATCGCTGGCGGATAATGCGCATGCGCTTATATTTAGCAAAGGACCGGGTCCGCTTGCTCCTTCTATCTTGAAGGCACAAGAAGTCACAACGAATGGCGTGTATCGACTCTCGCGTGCTATCTACTACTGTAGCTGGACCGTGTCAGACTCTCTGCGAGCTACTTCGCCGAGGGTTTGCACTTTAGTGCTTTTCATTGGGTCTGTCTGTCTGTTTGTTTGTCTGTTTGTCTATTACTCTCTATCTCACTCCTCGAACGTCTGTTCGTCCCAGAAACGATACCATCTACCCAACGGGCGACGAAGGTCAGAAATTTCGAACGGTTTTCTCTGAAAATGCTTCGTTGCAAAGCTAGAGCGCTTCCGCCATTGTACGGCTAATGCTAGTCGGCCATTTTTATCAACGGACGGAATGGCTTACCACGGTCTGATCGATCCGCGTGCTCTGCGTACCTCAGAGGCACCAGAAGATGCAACGCAGGGCGTGTATCGCCTCTCGCATGCTATTTAGTAGTGTAGTTAGCCCGCGTCAGACTCTGCGCGAGCTGGCAAGAGACCCGAGTAACAGCTAAAACTAAACCCAGCCCATCAGTTAGTGGTACGGCGCATGTGTTTACTTACGCGTGCGCGTCGCAATGCGCCGAGGGTTTGCACTTCAGTGCTTTTCATTTGTGTATGACAGGCGCTGTACATGCATTTGGGTAAGTATGGGACGCTAATTTGCACAAATTGAGGTATGCTTGGCACGCATACTGCCGAATGCTACAGACTCACATTATACAAAGTCATTTCATTAACCCTCGGCTCACATGTGCTGTGAGGGTTATAGCAAACCGTGATACATGTGCGAAGTATACTGCTGCATGCTACAGAAAAATGACAAGTACCACTGTTTTTACGCAGCATGTCCATCATAACAATGTCATGTTCTCATTAGGAATGGTGTATTTATGGTGATGTTGAAATATCTCAATGAGCTGTCGTTCTACTACTTTGCTGCTCAGACTGAGGAACTAGCACAGGTATGGAAACGCTTATAATTCGATGTACCTGTATATCACATTGTGAGGACCGTAAGACATAATGTTACTTTCCCCAGTTTTATATACACAGGACATGGCATTGTAGTCATGTACCCTATCTCACCGGTAGAGCTGATTGTCTTGCACACTTTTCACCATTCTGAGATCACTAGTGAGATGTGCAGAGGTTATCTGGCAGAGAAGAAAGCTATCCGTCCCCACGCTTAGGGGCTTGTATATTTTCCCAGCTGGTGTCTGTTGGTTTACAGTCTGGTGGTAATGCTTACAGTTTGTCATATAAATATGTAATCCACGGAGTTGTTCTGGTTCACATAATTAACCCTCGGCGCGCATTACAGTACTTGGTCGGCGTGTCTTTGTGTCTGTTCACGTTTTCTGCCACTAGTCGCACCAAGATCGCCGAAAGTCTACGCCAACGGGTTCGGCGCTACGTTTGCTTGATTTCAAAACTGGCGATTTTCGTAAAAGTGCTGCGTTCAAAAGTTATGGCGTGAAAACCAAGTGAACAAGCCAATATGCAAATTAGCACGGGCTTACCTCGACAAGATGTGCTTGCTCTGCATACCTTGGAGGCACAAGACGTCACAACGAAGGGCGTGTATCGACTCCCGCATGCTATACTGTAGCTAGCCCGTGTCAGACTCTCCGCGTGCTACTAGCGGGAGACCACGAGTAAACGCATACTGCGGCCCGGCCCATCAATTAGTGGTATCGCGCAAGCGCAGTTCGCCGAGGGTTTGCACTTCAGTGCTTTTTCATTTACTAAAGAGTTTTGAACAACACACATACATGTGTTTGCAAAGCATTAAAATAGGGGGAAAGGGTGGCTGAACACATGTGTTGTGTTATGTAGGTGTGGCTACGTGTTATGAAGAGACACACTCTCAAGACCCCAGACACGACCAAGACAGAGGTGCAGCAGATCCGCTCTCTCTCGCTGTCCATTCGAGACAACAAGCTGGCCAAATCCAGTGGCCACTCCAATGTCTACTGCCTGGTGTTCCTGGACGGAGCCGCCCTCGCCAAGACCATCCTCATGCAGGTCCCCTGCATCTTTGACGAGAGCTACCTCTTCCAGTGAGCTCTCTCTCTCAATGCACACCATTTCAACTTTTCCAGAGATTGTTTTAGGCAAAAACTATTAGTTTAGAAGTTGAAAAAAATAAAAATGCCACCCGCACATCTCTCCAGACAGACGTCTATGGACGCAGTGCAATGCCAAACTGTACGCTGTCCTTTGAGATGTGTGTGGGTCAGTGGTAGATTCATGGGTAAGGGGAGGATTCCCAGCCAATGCTCAGTTTCAGTGCGGGTCCGGGATTCGAACCGGGCACCTTATGTGACAGTCCCCATGTCTCTAACCACTTAGCCACTTGGGCTGGCCACGAGAGCTGATGAAAAAACGTTCCTCTTATATCAACACTCATATTACATCATTATAAAAAGAGTGTCACAGACCGGGTTCGAACCGCTGATCTCACGATTATGGGTGTGAGTCCTTATCCATCAGGCCACACCCAATACTTGGGATGAGCAGTTCAATACTATATCTATTTGTTTATGCTGACTCTCACTTATGACTCACGTGACCTGATTGGTGTGTTATGCAGGGATCTCCTCCTCTCCACCACCTCGTTCTCAGTGGAATTACTGAGTGCCTCAAAGAGAGCATACATCAAAGACTCCAGCATTGGTATATACAGTGTACACATCATTTTAGAGTGAGCTAGGTTTGAATTGACCAATAAGATTGCAAAGCCGAGGTTTACTATTTCCCGTAGTAAACCTCGACGGGGTTTACTACATGTAGTAAACCTACAGAAACTACAGAAACTACAGTAAGCTGTAAATTCCATGTCACTCTTATCTGGGAAATGTACATGAAAGTGCATGTTTTACAAGTGAAAGTAGACAGTGCGGCATATGTCCTGAACTGAGTAAAGGAACCTACATACATGCTACTAATGATGGTGGGGGTTGGTGCCAATGTTAAAATGAACAGTGCAGTTGGAAAACATAGCTGAAGATAGGTTGAGACCCTGTAGCTGATTACGTGCAGACGTTTGGATTATGTTCTGTGTGGGGATTGGTGCTGGCACTGTTGAGGAGGAGGGAGAGAGTGTGGATTGCGTGTCTACTCGTGGTGTTTTCCTGTTGAGGATGTCAGACAGAGCCTCTCTTTGATCTTCAGAGGTTCTCTTTAGGATCGAACTCCATCGATGCTCCGGTGGCCTGTTCTTGCCATTACAAGTTGTTCATCGATCCCTGAGTGGTACAACCTGCTGGTTGATGTCGCACGAAGTGAATGGTTTGTCTTATAGCCTGGAATGCCTGCAGAACTACACATTCTGGAAACTGTTTTGGCGAGTGTGTTGTGGCCGAGGGGTCTCTTGGAGTACCAGCAAGATGGTGATGGTGTTCGTGTAGGTTGCAGGTAAAAGGCACTCTCAGGAGCATCAGGGGGGCAGAGTGACCAGTACTTCTGAAGAGGCGCACGAAGCATCGTTGAGGTACCTCGAGGTTGGCATGATGTTTCACAACCTTTGGTGCTGTATTGCGCCCCTTCAATCCCCCAGGCCGATTTGTTGATGCATCTTCTGTGTAAAGCAGATATGGTCTTTTATCTGGTCGTTCCACCACCTCAATCTGACATGGTTTGCGGCAAAGTTGGCGGTGCTCCTGACCACTGCGGAGGGCAAAATACAGCCCATTGTAGAAAATTATTGTATCCAGCAGACGTTGGGGTGTGTCATCTCCAAGAACTCCCTTCACCCACAGTAGCTCTTCCTCCTCTCCGTTATGATCTCAGCTGCTTCTTCTTTGATCCCACCCCCTCCCTTGACAGTCTTTCATTTCGGAATCTAATATGCTCTGAAGGTGGAAAACCCTGGGTCTTGGAAGAAGTCTACCTGTCGACCATTCCCTCTCATGTGGCGAAGCAACCCAGCCACAAGATGATGGAGAGTGTTTGGTGGGTACACAGTACCATCTTTCTTTCTAACCTCCAAAACAAGCATGTCAGCCATGGTGAGTTCAGGTTCGGAAAGTTCCACGAGGGGTGAAATATTCTCTGCAGTGATGGAGTTTCTATGCTTCGCCACTCTCCCACAACCTCATGCAATACTCCGTGTCCTGCATGGTACGTCGAGGTATTCCTTGCCTTCTTGCCTCTTCTATTTCCTCATTTGTTTTCGGACCGCGAATCGTATCGCGGTTAAAGTTGCGCTAGAACTGCAGGACTGGATTGCAGCCTCCGTCCAGCGAGGGGGGCAGTAGCTCCAGTGTTGGGGTGCTGAGGAATAGCTCCAGTTTCTGCTTGGGTTTAGAACTTGAAGAGCGGGCGGAGCTGGTTCGGCGGCGCTCGAGCTCGAGCTCGCGGTCAAAGAGTGGGAGGGGCTGGTGTGCGTTGGCGTAGAAGCGGGCGCATGCGTGTTCTCGTAGTCGTCACTTGCCTTCGCCAGTAAGAAGTCTGTGAGGTCGTCCGTGTCGAGCCAGTCCAGGATACCAAAATACAAATTTGCGAGAGCTCCATTTTCGTCTTTGTCGATTGAACGTGAGTGCGCTCACTCTAAATAGTTAGACGCTGCTTCCATGGTAACTACGCGCAGTAGAAAACCTCGTGCCCCGGGGGGTAGCGCCCTCGCTGCGCTCGGGGCGCCACAATGCCGGGGCCCTCGGTTTTCTACTGCGCGTAGTTACCTGGAAGCAGCGTCTAACTATTATTTAGTGATTACCATGTGTCTGTCTATACAGGCCAGCTTGACCTATGTATGTATACACTTCTAGAGACCCACTGCATGTTGTACATTGCACACTATGTATGTATGTTATATAGGTCGTGTGACAATTCAACTGTCGGACATGCCCAATGGGCAGGATGATGACAAGTGGCACCATCTCATGACAAAGGGCTCAAGAACTGCACAAGGCTCCCTCAAACTGGTGGCCAACTTCAAGGTATTTTACATTACATTGATTATGTTTCACAGAACGACGTGAAAGGCAAAGCCATCGAGTCCACTACAGTTGACTTCATGCACATGCACATGTTTTGTTATGTATGTATGTCTCAACAACTTGGTAGCGAGGTAGAAAGGCAAGGCAAACAAGTCAGCTACACCCAGGACAGCTCTTTCTTTTCGAAGAGCTTCCCTGGGTTGGATTCGAACCCACGACACTCTGCAGTCTGTATGTATCTATATATACAATGCAGATTACCATGAAATGTGTCCTGTGTCTGTAATCCATGAGGCATCTCCATTACTGTGCTGTGTGTAGCATGGCACCCACTCCATCAGTAATGGATACACATACCGGTAGTACATACATAGGTCTATGCCATGCTGCATATGTAGGTCATAACATGTATCACGTGAAAAAAATGGTCCATCTCTCCAACGTGTTTGTTGTAACGTTGGATCATGCACACACAAAGGAGGGCAAGACCTGGTTTCGAGCATAGCTATTGTATTGTAACTCTGCACGCATACATTTACACCAATTTCTCTATCTTTCCTCTCCAGCTGTTACTGTCAGACAATCTGACAGTCATAGAAGCACTGGCCACTGTGTGCAAAGATCATCATGCTGAGCTGGCGTGTGCTCTCATACAAATCTTCTGCCACTATAAAACGCTTGTCTAGCAAAATCCCATTAAAAAAGAAGGCAAGTCTATCATTAATTGTAAGTATACTTGGTTGACTAGGATCCTGCATACTCTATGAATTATATCTACTAACACTAGTTAGAAAAACCTTTTTGGCCAAGCGTGTTGACTGCTCTGCAGTCCTCATCAGTGGCAAAAGTACAAAAAGTAGGCAATGGCTGGTTTTTAAAGGCATGAGACACAGAGGAATGAAAATTAAAATTCAATGTAACTAAGAGAGAATAGCAAGAGTAGCAAGTGTAGCTAGCTTTACAAAGGTCGAGATATTAATTTGTAAAATATATACAATAAAAAGAAAAAAGAAAAAAGGAGGGGGGGGGGAGGTACGAAAAGATGAAGCATAGAAGAAGAAAGAAAGCTCCAATCTACTTCAATCCTTGACAATGAGAACAGCCAGTTTGGAAGGTGTGCCCTGGAGTCATGGCACATACAGAGACACTCCAGCTTCAACTGGGAAGGGTGGACCCTTCCACCTGTATATCGCTGTTTGCACTGAAGTATTAATACAGCACTGCTATTGTTCAGTCTAGCCTGAATGGGGATAAGCTCATGCCATAGTTCACCCACTTGCCAACTCATTGCAGCTTGCATGCAGTCTCTCTCTCTCTCGCCAGAACAAAGGTATGTACTTGCATTCCCGTGCCTTATGTGGACGAACTGAGTTTGCCTGCAATTAGTTTTTCGAGGGAGGTGAAATGAAGTGTGTAGTAGTGAGAGGACACTTACTGCATGCTGAGTCCTGAGCATCTTGGAGGATATACTAAGAGTTAAAAGGGAAGAGTAGCAGCCAGTGCTGTACATCTGGCTTGATATCACGCCATAACTTTCACACGTAACTTTTAGCGAAATTGTAAACTTAAAATCAAGGTAATGTAAGCACTTAACTGTTGGTTGTATTGCTTTTTGCTGGTTTGTTGCACGTGGCGGCAGAAAACG